CATCTCACCCCGGCATTACTGGCACGAATCAAAAACACTGGAAATAACATGTTGGAGGGGCTGCAGGGAGATCGGAACTCTTACGCACTGCTGGTGGGAATGCAAAATGATACAACCATTTTGGAAAATGATATGGCACTTCCTCAGAAAGCTAGAAATAGACATACCATTCAATCCAGCAATCCCTCTCCTAGGAATATATCCTAGAGAAATAAGAGTCGTCGCTCGAATAGACATATGCACACCTATGTGCATGGCAGCATTGTTCACAATAGCAAAACGATGAAAACAACCTAGATGCCCATCAACAGATGAATGGATAAAAATAAAAGTTGTTAAGCTAATTTTAAAATGTATATGGAAATGTAAAGAACCTAGAATAGCCAGAACAACTTTGGGAGAACTAAGTTGGAAGAATAACACTACCTGGTTATTATTAGAGCTACTGTGATACTGTGGTATTAGTGTCAAGAAGGCAAATAAATTGATGGAACATAGTGAACCTATTGCTGTTGAGTCGATTCCAATCATAGCAACCCTATAGGACAAAGTAGAGCTGCCTCATAGGGTTTCCAAGTAATAGACCCACACATAAATAGACAACTAATTTTTAAGGAATAAGGAAGACGAAAGAAGAATTGATGCCTTTGAATTGTAGTGTTGGTGAAGAATATTGAATATACCGTGGACTGCCAGAAGAACGAACAAATCTGTCTCTGAACAAGTACAGCCGGGGAGGCGGGGCCGAGATGACGGAACAGTCAGACACTTCCTGTCATCCCTCTTACAACAAAGACCCCCCCCCAAAAAAAGTGAATGTATACGACAGTCTAGAAACCCTAATCATCAAAGACAAAGCTGAAGAATTGGACTGAGTGGCAGATGGAAGGAGAGACAATTCAAAAGCAGTGGAAATGGGGAACTACAGATCACAGATTCGCTGATGCCGTGCTAGCTGAGTCGGCACAGTGCACACAGGGTGAGACAAGCAGCAATATCCCCAGCTGAGGCCCACCACATCTGGTGCAGCCAAGTGGTAGCAGCTCTGCACATACCTCCAGAATCAAACAGGAGCAACGCCAGACCCGTGAAAGTTAAGTGCAAGATTTCAACCTACCACGTGCTGGCAAAATAATCCCTCCCTGCCAGAGCTTCACAGCGGAGAAGCACATCCTTCCACTCACCCATCCCCCACCCTTCTCCAACACCAGTCCCTTAGCATTCAACAGTGCCACGCCACCTAAACCAGGAACTCAGGGCCGGTCAGGAAGCCCTGCCCCTTTGCCTAGCCACTGACATATGGGGTCCATGGACTTGCAGCGCCCCTCACCACCGCCCAGTCCCTTGTGAGCAAGTTCAGTACTGCATGCCCTCATTAGCATAAAATAGCAGGGCATACACCTGAAGCCCATTTTCACCTGCAACAGTCAAAGGGAGCTGCAGATCTATGATATTCAACACTGCCCCACCCCCTAAGAAGGGGCCTCACCGACCCACACTGGGGGCCTAAGGGCTAGCGGTACCACCCGCTACATCTAGCTGCCCATGACAGGGCTCTGAGAACTATTGATTCCTCCTAATCTTTCCAGCCAAAGGCACCAGGCACTCAAGGACCAGCTGCACAACACCCCCCTCCCCCCCAGTTAGCTCTCTAGGGGATAGGGACACACCCTCCATCCAGGCACCCAGGGGCAGCCGTCAGTCCCCTGCCTTGCCCCACACATCGCCCTCCACTGCAACCAGAGACCTGTGCCTGCTCTGAACACCCCCACACAGCCCTGCCCACCTAGGAATGTAGGGGAGAGCCTGCACCACACACTCAGTGACCAACAACCCAGACACCTGTGCCCTGAATAACTGTACCCCTGCAAGAACAGTGAACAGACTCCTGGGCTTACA